TTTGCTCTATGCTTGTGAAACCTGGCCTCTCCGAGTTGAGGACGTTAGACGACTCTCTGTGTTCGATCATCGCTGTCTCCGAAGGATTGCTGACATTCAGTGGCAACACCATGTCAGTAATGCAGAGGTTCGGCATCGTGTGTTCGGGCACAGAGATGATAATCAATTGGTGTCACCATCTTGAAACACCGACTTCGGTGGCTTGGACATGTTCTCCGAATGTCGTCCCAGAGAATTCCACGTCGTGCATTATTTGCCGACTCTGGTTGGAAGAGGCGGAGAGGTGGTCAGTGCATGACATGGTGTCGTGGCATGAAAGAAAGCTGCAAAGGACTGGCTTGTGTTGGTCCTTCACGACTCCCTGGTTGGGGTCCGAGAGATGGTGCTACACAGTGGCTAGAGACGTTATCAGATATGGCTCAGAATAGAAGCCAGTGGCGATCCTGCTGTAAAGGTGGTTGTATCTTACTTAACTGAAAGATTTCTTCTGATTGTACTTTTCCGTTCCCCCATTAATATTACTATTATTATTGTTATTATTATCATTATTACACTACCCTACACCAATATCTTCGCTATTGTTCTCTTTTTTTTACACTCCTTGCCTTTTTTCCTTCTCTTTGAGTTCTCATTGTTTTGTGTGGCACTCTCTTATACCAATATTTGTGTCCAAATAAATGAATAAATAAATATATAATAGTTCATACGATAATTCAAATACATTGAAATATTATATCCATCCACTTCCGTCGCATTTCCAAGCATGAGTGATTCCGCAGCTGCGTGCGTAAATTGACCGAAAACTCTAAATGTCGTTCAAGTAGCAGCTGTAATCGATCGGAATGGAGTTATTTTTTTCGAATCAGCACCGGTAATAAAATTTACTGTATTAATTAACAACCAATGTCTTCCAAGGACACCGATGACAAATCTGGTTGCTGATTGATGGAAATAATTAGACTAAATTTCGTGCAATTACAGACTGACCTTGGATTGCAATTTTTACCCCGTCACCAATTGCTATACGTGAGGACCGCTGATTAGAGAGCAGTGAACTATCGATCGAACCAAAGGCGCGTAAAAACGTAAGAACGGCTTAGAGTTCTGATTTGTGCTACTTCCTTGTCTAGCCCAGCCAGTTGAGTCCAGAACGCAAGTCTCAGCCTCTGAGATATGAATCGTTATATTTCAAACATACTCTGTTTACATACCAATCAAGTAGACCACATCGTACCATAAATAGAAAATAACATTTGTACAATATTTGTCCAACAGGAAAATGACACATGCAATAAATATTGACCATTAGGGAAACGACACGTGAAATAAATATTGACCAATAGGAAATGTCCCTTTTTAAGTCCAAGATACCATTAGACTTCACAGGATAATTTTGGGGATATTTTTCTGAATATCACACGAAATGCACGTGTAGAGAGCTCATCTTCATTTTAGCATATCCGTAAGTTATTTTAATATATAATTTGGTCTTGAAATAATCGTTATAAATATGTAAGCAAATGAATAATTTATGGTGATAACACAATGAATAGGGTATGTAATAATCGCGGTAAACGAATGAGATCGATATGTGAAACAACGGGGAGACTCTATTTTACGGGTGACCTTTGAACGAGTTTTAATTGACCTTGAAAACTATTAGCCAATCATGATGCACATACCCAAATCTATGGAGTCATCTATACGCTTTCCAATCATCTGTATATATCGTAGTGTCCGGCTGCACGTATTCCTTTATAATTGGTATTATTGTGGTTACTTGACGGTTTCTCACCCTTTGGAAATGCTCCTATTTGGTTGAGCGATCATAAAATCCAGGTACCTGTCAAGTATATTAACGGAAGTGCCACTTACCCAATCTTCCTTGATACAACGTCCCTTGTTGTATTTTTGCTTTCTCACTACTGTTTCATCTAGTTCCACTATATTTCCGAATCCTCCAAATGATTTGCGTAGGCGTGTTATTTTATTTGCACATATATCACGACAATACTCAAACCACTGGACGGCTGAAGTTTCCGTAACATCTGCAAACGCCTCAGCCATTGTTACTGGTGACTCTATAATCCAATTTGCAACTATTATCATGATTCGCCTTAGTCTTAGTCATGATCGAGCGAACAAAGTCTCAGTCCGAGCAGATTTTTTTCTCCCACATAAAGAACAACGAAATATAATCTCATCACGATAGTCTGCACACCGACATTTGATTACCGCAGTCACAGGTACAGGAACGTCTTAGTAGTCTCATCTATTGTAGCCGCGCAATAATTACTTCTCCAAAATCTGATGTAAACCGATCGTATGTGAGCATCAGGTGTTGAACTTGGCGCCGTGACCTTGAAAATCCTCAGACGCTTCTGATTGGCTGGTCCGTAAATTAGAGTCTCGCCTGAAGCAACTACCACGCTTTCCTAAATTAATAATAAAGAAGAAAATAATGTTTATAACTGTGATTTCGTCAAAAGTGATTCATAATAGAAAAGAGTTGGTGGATATCGCTGTGAAAACGACTTCGTTAATGCGTTATTTCGAAAATTAATCCATACGTAGTCCATATTATGCAGTGAATTATTGACCGACTGAGTGATCACGATATAGACAGACGGTGATAAAGTCAGACAGAAATAGAGAACGACATAGCGATGGACTAAATAGAGGAAGGAGAGAAGGACAAATAAACGGAGTCTTGCAGATATACAAATACACAGCCACATACTCAGGCATTCAGAAAGGAGGACAGACAATACGATAATCGGTTTTTCAAAATGATAAAGGGAACTATGTGTATGATAATCGGTCAGTCAGCCAATGAGTCAATTAGTCACTGAGAGAACCACACAGCGAATCATTCAGTCAGTAGAACACGAGAGATAGACAGACGAAATCACACACAGACACAAAGAAAAACGGACAAAGTACTAAGAGATACACAGCGACAGATAGCGAGATACAGACTAGCAGGCAGGCAGACAGAGATGCAGACGGATGATGGCAAGGACGCAGCGATGGACGCCGGGGCTGTGGGCGGACGGTCGGACAAACAGACAGACTGAGAGACAGATATTGAGATAGAAGGATAGACAAAAGGTGGTTGCCTTACACGCATGGAAGCAGACATAAACTCAGATAAACATGCAGGTAGGATGATATTTAGTCAGTTTGCTAATCAATGTGCGAGTGCAGTGTCCCGCTGTGTCACAAAATTTCTCATCGATTTGTCACAAATTTCGTGAAAAAGATAATACAGTAGACTGCAACATCAATTACAACCTACGGCAGTCATGTTTCAGCGACTAGAGTGTATAGCGCTTTCACTGTCAGCTGACTACAGTCTGCTCAGTTTCATGTGAGATGCATTTTGTGGATGCACATTGTGGTACACTGAGCGCTGATTGATCGACCGAGAAATGAGTGAATCAATGTTTAATTGTGATCACCGGTTGGTTGACGTGATCGTATGCAGATGGCTTGTGTTCATTTGAACAGAATGTATGCAAGAACGCGAGAAGTGAGAACGGCAAAGAATGGCTGGAACATTCTAAAATCCACAAAGTCTGGAATCGTTATTTTCGAGATCCAATAATTTGAACATCGACCGTCCTCGTAGGACGAGTAGCACCATATCCGATCAAAGGATTGTCTGAAGAAAATACGAAGAGCTACTTTATTACTAATGCAAAATAAAAACAAAACCCCAACAAGATAGCTATCAAATAAATCCAATGAATGTAACTAAACAACATGAACGAGACTATCTAGTTTATTGTGATGATGTACCATTGAAAATTAACACATTACAATCATTATTCAATTGGTATAAATTGAAAGCAACAGAAAAATATGAAGGTGTAGAGAAGAAGCTAAAGTAGATGCATAACTCACTTAATAATTATTATTGTCATTATTATTATTATTATTTATTATCGATGGTTGGATGAATGATTTCTTTATTCTCGTTCTTTCTGTTTCGCTTTCCATTTCCATTTGTGTAGTTGATGAATTTCAGCTATTTACACTTCATGGAAATAAGTGGTTTTATGTAGATAATAGTATACTGCAATAAAAGAGAGATAATAATGACAATGATAATTATTCCAATTCTTATAGTGAAAATGGTCAATGTGTTTTACATGACTTGACAATTCATTCGAATCTCACTGATAAACATCAGTTTGTTGTTTCGTCTCCTATCTCATTGTCTATAATGTCTATAATCCAAAATCATTTAACGCGAGAACTTGAAGTAAGTTACTGCTAATTCTGTAATACTCTCAATAAAGTAATCAGTTGTTTTTTTTTCTGTCTACAATTTTCGTAAGCCGTCCGTTTGTTTGTTTATTTATTGGTCTGTTTATCTCACGATATTTATCATGTTTAGGTTGCATAGTTGTATGTAGTCTTGACAGCAGATAATGAAAAGCGAATGGCAATGGTTTTTGACAGTTATTCGGCGAGTCATTCCAGCAGTTGTGTAGAGAGTTATGAGAGGAGGAAAAGTGATTCTATATATTCCACAGATAATTACCATCTGAGTTGAATTTTATGTAATATCCTTGAATAATCTCGGACATGTGTTATTTAGTCTGGAATTAAAACACATTAACGAATTAACCTGCAATAAAAGTTCTGGTGGCCAAACGAATTATTCTTGGTTTCAGTTTCTTGTATTTGTGACAGTAATTCATATCATCCTATTAACGTTGTCTTTTGCTTGGTTTCTAAAATTAGGTTGCAAATCAAAGTAAGCTATAGTTTTGAGCTTCATTAAAGTTAGTTTAACAGGTTTATTCTCCGTAATATTGTGACTTATATAAAACGTTTTCATAACTTAGTATGTTGCTATTATTCATCATATAAATGCACTGTCTGTTTAGGGAAGATGTGCTAGTAGGCGACATTTATTTGCTGGTACTAACCGGTACTATCCAGTTAAATTTGTTGAAGTATAGTATTATTAGAATTTCTTACTTAGTACCGATTTATTTAGTCGGCTTTAAGATACACTTTAGTTATGAGAGCTAGTGATCAAAACCGATGGGTTGTAGTTCGAGTCTGCTACTTACTGATTGAAATTCAAATACCTTAATCACTAAACCGTCGTTCTATGAAGAACTGAAAGGCTGAAAAGTAAGGCACCAATTCACAGTCCTATTTAGATCTTCTAAGCCATATTTAATGTATTACAGTCTACTGGACTAGGAACTCGATTCCTTTTTGTTTATCCATTTGCTTAATTTATTCGTCTGCATAATTGTCAACTCATTTTCATAGGACTTCACAACTATAATACAAAACTCTGATAACTATATTTATCTATATATGTAGGTAATTCCTGATTATTTGATACAATATGCTTGAAGATAATTGAAAAGAAACAAATGACATTGAGTCTTTCTTTTTATATTCTACTTAGGAAATAAATGTTGAATTAGCTTCAATGTTAGAAAAATGCAATCGAGCATATGAATGTCCAACAGTTAAAATGAACTTAATGAAAGATCGATATGAACGTCGATTAACTGATTTAAACAGTGAATGTACAAGTTTACAAAATATTTCTCAAAGAGATTTAAAGAAAACTAAAGAACAAGTTAGTGTTACTGTTCAGGAACTCTTTTCACTAACATTCTTGAATTTATAAGATATGTGTTATCAGTGAACAATAAGTGAAAACTATGATTTCAGGGAAATAAATGTTACGGTAACCTAGTGATCTATATGTATTTAAAAGAAAATTTGTTTGACACTTCGGCTTTAATGCCAGCATCTAGAACAATGTGACTGAGAACTAAAAACACAAACTTGTTCCTGTATTGATGAATGAACATGTTAAAGATAATAATTAACTGACCAGTCAAGGAAGATGACTATCTGATTATAACAAAGATAAGAGATTATTTTTTATTCTCTCTGTTTAGCCGAACAGCACATAAACGACTGTTAACGGGGATCTGCTCTAAATGTGCTTGTTCCGCCCTCATGTTCAGTGCTATGCCTAATCCTTCCAGTCCACGAGAGCTGGCCGTCGGGTCCATAGATACTCGGAGGGTGTATCTCGTTGGCTCTCCGTTTCGCTGAGGTGAGGTCAAGTGAATGGCCACGCTGTGATCCTGTATGCGTGTTTCAGAGACACAGCATACATCAATGATACGAGATTCTAGCTAGAACAATGTAATCATATTGTAGAACAAAGCAATTGGTAGAAGAAACGAATGTTTATTGAGAGAAATTACAAAGTGTATTGAGAACTAGATTACAACAGGCCAGAACAATAATTTACCGACACAAATTACAAGCAATCAATGCAGAATAAAATCAGACTAGACACAGAGAGAATAAAAAATAATCTCTTATCTTTGTTATAATCAGATAGTCATCTTCCTTGACTGGTCAGTTAATTATTATCTTTAACATGTTCATTCATCAATACAAGAACAAGTTTGTGTTTTTAGTTCTCAGTCACATTGTTCTAGATGCTGGCATTAAAGCCGAAGTGTCAAACAAATTTTCTTTTAAATACATATAGATCACTAGGTTACCGTAACATTTATTTCCCTGAAATCATAGTTTTCACTTATTGTTCACTGATAACACATATCTTATAAATTCAAGAATGTTAGTGAAAAGAGTTCCTGAACAGTAACACTAACTTGTTCTTTAGTTTTCTTTAAATCTCTTGAGAAATATTTTGTAAACTTGTACATTCACTGTTTAAATCAGTTAATCGACGTTCATATCGATCTTTCATTAAGTTCATTTTAACTGTTGGACATTCATATGCTCGATTGCATTTTTCTAACATTGAAGCTAATTCAACATTTATTTCCTAAGTAGAATATAAAAAGAAAGACTCAATGTCATTTGTTTCTTTTCAATTATCTTCAAGCATATTGTATCAAATAATCAGGAATTACCTACATATATAGATAAATATAGTTATCAGAGTTTTGTATTATAGTTGTGAAGTCCTATGAAAATGAGTTGACAATTATGCAGACGAATAAATTAAGCAAATGGATAAACAAAAAGGAATCGAGTTCCTAGTCCAGTAGACTGTAATACATTAAATATGGCTTAGAAGATCTAAATAGGACTGTGAATTGGTGCCTTACTTTTCAGCCTTTCAGTTCTTCATAGAACGACGGTTTAGTGATTAAGGTATTTGAATTTCAATCAGTAAGTAGCAGACTCGAACTACAACCCATCGGTTTTGATCACTAGCTCTCATAACTAAAGTGTATCTTAAAGCCGACTAAATAAATCGGTACTAAGTAAGAAATTCTAATAATACTATACTTCAACAAATTTAACTGGATAGTACCGGTTAGTACCAGCAAATAAATGTCGCCTACTAGCACATCTTCCCTAAACAGACAGTGCATTTATATGATGAATAATAGCAACATACTAAGTTATGAAAACGTTTTATATAAGTCACAATATTACGGAGAATAAACCTGTTAAACTAACTTTAATGAAGCTCAAAACTATAGCTTACTTTGATTTGCAACCTAATTTTAGAAACCAAGCAAAAGACAACGTTAATAGGATGATATGAATTACTGTCACAAATACAAGAAACTGAAACCAAGAATAATTCGTTTGGCCACCAGAACTTTTATTGCAGGTTAATTCGTTAATGTGTTTTAATTCCAGACTAAATAACACATGTCCGAGATTATTCAAGGATATTACATAAAATTCAACTCAGATGGTAATTATCTGTGGAATATATAGAATCACTTTTCCTCCTCTCATAACTCTCTACACAACTGCTGGAATGACTCGCCGAATAACTGTCAAAAACCATTGCCATTCGCTTTTCATTATCTGCTGTCAAGACTACATACAACTATGCAACCTAAACATGATAAATATCGTGAGATAAACAGACCAATAAATAAACAAACAAACGGACGGCTTACGAAAATTGTAGACAGAAAAAAAAACAACTGATTACTTTATTGAGAGTATTACAGAATTAGCAGTAACTTACTTCAAGTTCTCGCGTTAAATGATTTTGGATTATAGACATTATAGACAATGAGATAGGAGACGAAACAACAAACTGATGTTTATCAGTGAGATTCGAATGAATTGTCAAGTCATGTAAAACACATTGACCATTTTCACTATAAGAATTGGAATAATTATCATTATCATTATTATCATTGTTATTAAGATTGAGGCGGTGGCGGATGTTAATAATGAGTAGTACTTATAAAATAATCGGCAAGTGATATAACTGCATCATCATTAGTCTGTGGTAGTGTCACACTAGATTGAGATTGTTGTTGTGACCTTGATGTCTGACCTTTCTATGACACAAATTATCCACCAATCAGAATACGACTTCTGCAAATCTTCACTCTATATACCAACCAATGACGTTCTACCGACGTGGGCAGTCTAGCGCCTTGTTGGTCCGAGGTCCCCTTCTAACCCGTCTGCTTGAATAAAAAAAAGCACAACGGACTAACAGCTTCCGCAATATGAATTAAGTATTTCAAACATACTTTATTTATATACCAATCAGACAAACCACAAGGTACCATAAAATAGAAAATAACAAGTGTACACAAATAAACCAAAAAGTGGCTATGAACGCGGGAGATAGTAATTAATAGACTGAGCATAGCTTAAGAATCGTAAATCGTACAATAATAAATTATAGGTCAAAATAAAGCTTATAATAAGAGGAATATAGATACATATAATGTAATTATTGAATAATTATACAATAAGAATATTTATAGAATATTAGTCCATTAATAGTCCTCAGAAGTTACCTGGGTTATAACAATTATTGTTGATATATTGAAGCATTCGCATAATTTTCATTCATATTTACATTTGATAAATTAAATCCGTGCTGGTATTTTTGCTTCCGCTCAAGTCGAATGGACTAACAACTATCAACGGGTAATCTGTAGAAACCGAATTCATTGGAAGAATATGCACCCAAACAAATGAGTACTGAAATATGCTTACATGCAGTGATTATCTTCGTTTTGTGATAAAAAGTTGGTCTGGAAAAGAAAAATCAAGCGAATCAAGGTAGTATTTAGGATAAATAATAACTTCAAAAAGATATTTAAGGCATAAACTATAATTGATGACCTTAGATGTACAACTTTTAGTGAACAGAATGACTTTATGCAGAAGCGGAAAGTTACTAAACATTTCACATAGAAATTATTTTTTGGCTTCATCTACTTTTATCCAATATATCAACGCTATATGACAACAAACTAACTGAAAACGAGACACAGGGCCAAGCATAAAACACCACCAGTTAGTTGAAAATCATAACCAAAGTTGATTTTGTTAATCAAGTCGCTTTAGCTACCTGTCAACAAAGTTTCAAACTTGAAACCAAAGGTTTAGAGCCATGTCTGATTTCGACGAAGTTTACCTATTGTAAAAACAATTTTATGCATTCGTCTACGGATGATAATAAGTGTAGCTACACATTTGTAGATGAGGATTAGACATGAAAAGGTCAACTATACAAGTGAATTGATGCGTTTACATTTACACAGGATGATGAAATACATTGAAGCCGAAGATAACTATTTCTCAGTGAGCTATAGAAGATATGCATCTCAACTCTAAAGCTTTTCAGTAACTGATCTTTAGAAACAAATCACAGTCTGCATTAAAACCTTTCCCATTACTTACTCGATAGCCACCAGTCCCCGAAACGTTGAAACCATGAGCTTCGTTGACATATGATTCATTTGACTGTTTGTTAGCCTTGGCAGCTTGGAATTCTCTTAGCTATTAAAAGATGTATAGGAAAGAATGTGATGTATGGCGAAAAATCACTTCATAATATTAGTATATGTGTAGTTCATCTACCACGTAAAACTGAGAAGATAATGTCAAGTTGAAATTATAATTGTTCGAGGTTCAGAATTAAAAACTACGTCTCGGAAAGCAGATGTATCATGCATGTGTGAGCAGTGGAAGCTTGATAATAGTTCTCAAGAAATCTAAACACGATGATGTATCAATTCCACGAAATCCTCATTGGCATATTTACGTTATATAAATCTTATATCTGATATGAAATAAACCAAAAATACTCGTCACGTTCAATTAGCAGAATTTATGCTTTCCGCCCACGTTAACTTTGAAATTTAATACAATGTCATATATTAGAGTGAGAAAAGTCTGTGTCTAAACCACTTTTATTTTAAGCAAGAAAACAAAACACAATATGGCTTTATTAGTACTATAAATAGAAAGCACTGTTCAGAGAAACGTGAGTTTCCGCTATGTACGACATGAGACCACTAAAACAACGAATTACAAAGCTAGTTTAATTCCATTTAAATGATAGTAAGGCTTAGTGACACAACTGCAATTTATTCCGACGTTTCGAACAGGCGTGTCGAAAGATGAGAGTTAAAGACCTAATTTCTGGCACCAGGTTTTTGAAACTACCACATAGAACGTTAAGTGCACTGTATAACAGTGGATCATATTGTAGAACGTCCTTCGTAATTGGGAAATGTGTAAAGTTGTTAGTGTTTGACCATAGACCGACGTATCTCACGTAAAGAAAAATAACTGAGTATATAACGATATTAAAAGCAAATTATTATATTGAGCTGATAAACCGATAAACAGGGCCGCAAATACCTAACAATTGGAAAATGACAGATAGAACAAACCGTCCTCTCCAAAACCGGTAACTTTATGCATTATCTGATTTCAGCCACCACCTTATTACAATGTAATGTTGACTGACACAGATGATCACGAAAAAACCACAGGATAAGTATTTTAGCGGATTTATGATGACACTATACACTTTTTGATATTCCTTCGATGACTTGGTTACAAACACATTAGCGATCTATACCCGAACAATAAACACAAATACCCAGTATCGAAAGTGCCTGGACCCCACATACCACAGGAAAACTGCTACTTAAATTTGAACAGATGATCTCACGAGTTTTTCTTAGACCGAACACGTACTCCAATTAAATATTTGCGTAGAGAAATCGAAATGTCAAAACCAACCAACAAAATAAAAGTATTCTGCAATAGTATGGTCATATGTCAGTGGACACACCTTTTTCTTAGCAGCCGCTATTTTCTCTGCTCTACTTAGTTCCGACATCTTACTTCTGCCAGTGTGACGTGTTAAATGAGCTTGGCTACCTTCCCTGACCTTGGCTGCTAGGCTACTTTCAAGATGTCTTTACAGCATATAAACATATTAGCGATCTGTACCCGAACAAAAAACACAAATCCCCAGTATCGAAAGTGCCTGGACCACTACATACCACAAGTGCATCCACTCTTTATGTTCTCCCAAATTCTAATCTTTTGAATTCTTCATGTTACTTTCCTTTTCGCTTTCCAAATATATTTCACTGTATTATACTTCTTGAATAACATCTTCAAACCCTAATGTTTCCGATTACTGCTTGTACTTTGACTAACTTTAGCACTACGGGATTTGAATTGGCAACTGCATCTCTGTGCTAATGTGGTGTGGCAACTCGAACTGATGTACGTACGTACGAAGTCCCACGTTGTGACTGACTGACTGACTGTGGCACAGATTCATTCCTTTTTTATCGTGCGCTATAAAGTAAAGATTGTGCACCTGTATTTTCGAATAATATCGGGATTGTTTAATCTTTCTTAGAATGGTAGCTGCTATATTATTTTAATTCCTTTGCAATTAAACGTTAATATGTGAGAACTTAGATAAACGTATATACATTTTTGGATCCTACATTGATTATGACTGGCTGTCTAAAGATATATTCAAAACTGTTCGTTATTTATTCTAAGTCGGATTACGTATGTGATATAACAATCCAATGGATATAAAGATAGATGTTCAAAGAAGCACAGCGTCTAATTACACGATTGAGATACACATGCAGAAATGGTAAAGCGTAAATGCTAATCAGTCAGTCAGCTACAACGTAAGACCAGGCACATATATGCATCGTTTCAAGTTGCCATACCTAATCAGCACAGCAAGATGAACACCGGACTCATAGAAGTAGTTAATTCAGTGGTGGTAATATGTAAAAGACTGAGTGCGTATAATGACATAGTACGCGAGGAAAGAATTAGTTCATAGAAAGAAAGATATGAAGCGATTTTAATCTCATAGTTTAAGGAAGGACAACGAATGTATACAACGACGCCAATGTGATCGATATTGAGCCATGCTAATCCCAGCACTGTAAATCATATTTTCATAATTACAGTTTTCTGATTGTTCGGACTGAGTCCAGAGTTGGTCAAGATCACTAAGTCTCTCATGTTCGCACTTAATTATCAGGTTTATCACAAACTTTTGACAATAAGCAGAAAAATAATATTTTCAAGGGTAGGTTCCTAACAATGTCTATCTTCCATACATCTGAAATTAGGAAAGTGATGTTGCATTCATAGGGAATTTTTTGTTTTAATAAATACAAACTCATCGATTCAAATGATGTACAGTTATCAAGAACAATAAAGGTTGACGAGTTATTTGGACTGTACCAGATAGAATTGCAGCCGCATAAACACGAATCACGGATGAGTTCGATTCAACTGGTTCAAGGAAGCTTGACAATGGTATAACAAGCTATATTTATACGAATTATGAATAGAAATAATATAAATTCGGAAATAAAGATTTAGTGATATCCATGGCAGAATAAATTTCAAAACAAGGAATCTTTATTCTTGCTCTATTTTTAGGATGAACTATGAGTATGAAAGTGACATAGTAGTTAAGGCGTCCAACTTCCGGAAAGTTAGTCAGTCTTAAAACTAAGGCTCATTTTGCCTGCATCGGATTGAACAACCGGATAATATCGTTGGTCACTTTTTGATGTTTACAACTACAGTTGATAAGTGTCCATTCTGTGAGGATTGCTTTGATAATGTCGGCAATTCATAAGCATTTTTAAACAGGGATGGATAGTAACCAGGAGTGAAATCCAGAAAGCGTGTTACGTCCTATTTGGGACTCACCAACTAGATTTACCTGCATCCCACAGTTAATGTTCACCCCGAAATTAGAGCCATTCGCTTCAAACACCATCACGTTGTCTACTTAGCTAATCAGTTCAGATAGCCAACTGACTTTTGCAATGGGGAGAAATCTAATTCCTTTATATTAGTTGCTCTCTAAATCGTCCCATTATGTTTACAACTGTAATTCATCAGTCTATTTTTACTATTATTATAAAATATAGGCTAAATATGAACAAACTTCATTTCGTGTAAAATGTTCTGTAGCGTTGAAAGCGTCTATCTATATGATTAAAAGAAGAATATCTCTTAGATTATTTACCAACATAAGATAACCTAAATAAAAGCTAAGTCCACAATAACTGCCAACAATTGAAATGAAAACTAAGAGAATATAACAATTCGAAAAACCGTCACATCTAAACAGAAATTCAATGAATGTACAAAACCTGAATAGAACTATTAGAATATATTTCACATTACAAGTTCATGTCAACACACCCAATAATAACGTACAATTAAATTGAGATAAGCATGACATATTCAAATAATGAAGAAATAGAGATCAGAGGTCAAACAAAACAAAACAAAACAAAAAGCAAATAGAAAACAGACTTAACAACTAACCTGATTTAAAACAATACGAAGTGAATTTAAAACTTGTTGATGTTCACCCCATAGTGCACATCTATATTTCACATGACATAACTGTTGACAACGCCAAAAAACTAGATTGGCAAACGCTGGAGAATCATAAGACAATGCATTGTAGTGATTCACTAGGTCAATATATCTATACAGTAAAAAACAAAAGCGAGTAATGGCACACATGATTATCTATAAAGATCCGAACGGTGCGTTAACTAAATATACCGTTCATTTACCTGGTATTTAAACACATTTTCGAAATTAGAGCTAGTGATAATTTCTGGTCCCTTAAATCAAAGTGGGTAAGATTTAAAAACTCCGACACTGCAATACCTGAATATCAAATATTCAAACTTCTATAAAATACGTATTTTGCATTATTGAAGAAACTGATACTTCATCCATACAATTTGAATTTCAGTCGGTCAGTGCAACAATCAAATGCTTTGTTCATTCATTCACCCAATCTCACAGTAGTTTCAAGTAACATTTAGAAAATACATTCACTGAATACATGTCTAAAGCATGATTATTACACATATACATATACCCCATTTACTTTTCCTTGCTCGAGGTACTTACCTACTATATAAATGTTAGGACAGTGCAATCGATATTTACATCATTTATACAACTAGTAACTCCCATTGACTTTCAAGTATTTTTTAATGAACAGTCGAAAAGTGGAAGAAAAATCCAACTACTGCAAAAAGCACACTGAGCAAAGTGAAGAATACATATTTACTGTCTTTTCCGTGTTACAGACAATATTAGCAGTTAGAAAGCACTAAAACAAGTGGAGCCAAGAAATTTCGGGCATATTGAAGTCACCACAAATAAGCTCGCCTGTGAATGGGAGGGATGATGCTAGTGTGAATACCTCCTATAATACTGCTATGGGTAAGAGTATCTCGGATAAAGTCGTCGTAACCCTCGCGGGTGTGAGATGAGTTTGAAGTGAGGGATTGAATGTTCTTCATTAGCTCGGTATTTTGATAGCTAGACTTAGTGGGAGATGTATCAAATGAGCTAGTGAAGTTGATTGGGGAGTTTACCCAAGGGGAAAGGGTCGGAGTACTCTCTGATGGAAATTGTACGGAGGAAACAAATTTATGGTTTGCATGTGGTTTGAAATAACTTGGGCTATATGCTTCAACAGAGGTGTCACTAGGAGTCGTATTCCAAAAAATTCTTGTACAGGCCTACTGTGGAGTGTATGGTTACTTGCAAAATAGTCTTGATGGTTAGACTTGTGGTGGATCAGACGATATACAAACGCAAAAAGTATCAACAAAGTTAATAAAAAGCAATAGTAATATTAATATATATCAGTTAAATGTTACAAATACAATAAAAATGGGACTTTACTTAAGTTCACCCAAAATGATGCGTGTTCGGCTTTAATCTGGTACAATAAATCCACAATTAAAGATGCTTGATAATTCCAAACGTATCGATGAACTCCCCAGGGGTGTAATCCAAAGTAAGGTATGGTGTATTCGCTCTCACAGTCTATGAATGTAAATAATATTTATTTTAGATCATAGTTAACTCAATCTCAAATGAAAACAGAACGGGGAATGTGAGAGAAGCAGTGTATTTGTTAACCAGCAACGATATATCACGCTATGTAGTATCACAACGGAAAAAGTCTTCAAGGTCATTTACTTAAACAACAGGTACAATCATTTAATGATAAATTTACATGCAGTGAGAAATTGACAGAACAAATACAAATAATATTAAAAACTATCTACAAGATAAGCTTATCAAACTTATCTCCACAGACTGGTAGCCTTTGTTATGGCTATTTACGTTAGCGTGAGAGAGGTCTGCTGCGCGTAACTGGAAGGAGTTGGGACTGTTATTACACATGCGAGCCGTTTGACAATGGTATAACAAGCTATATTTATACGAATTATGAATAGAAATAATATAAATTCGGAAATAAAGATTTAGTGATATCCATGGCAGAATAAATTTCAAAACAAGGAATCTTTATTCTTGCTCTATTTTTAGGATGAACTATGAGTATGAAAGTGACATAGTAGTTAAGGCGTCCAACTTCCGGAAAGTTAGTCAGTCTTAAAACTAGGGCTCATTTTGCCTGCATCGGATTGAACAACCGGATAATATCGTTGGTCAATTTTTGATGTTTACAACTACAGTTGATAAGTGTCCATTCTGTGAGAATTGCTTTGGTAATGTCGGCAATTCATAAGCATTTTTAAACAGGGATGGATAGTAACCAGAAGTGAAATCCAGAAAGCGTGTTACGTCCTATTTGGGACTCACCAACTAGATTTACCTGCATCCCACAGTTAATGTTCACCCCGAAATTAGAGCCATTCGCTTCAAACACCATCACGTTGTCTACTTAGCTAATCAGTTCAGATAGTCAACTGACTTTTGCAATGGGGAGAAATCTAATTCCTTTATATTAGTTGCTCTCTAAATCGTCCCATTATGTTTACAACTGTAATTCATCAGTCTATTTTTACTATTATTATAAAATATAGGCTAAATATGAACAAACTTCATCTCGTGTAAAATGTTCTGTAGCGTTGAAAGCGTCTATCTATATGATTAAAAGAAGAATATCTCTTAGATTATTTACCAACGTAAGATAACCTAAATAAAAGCTAAGTCCACAATAACTGCCAACAATTGAAATGAAAACTAAGAGAATATAACAATTCGAAAAACCGTCACATCTAAACAGAAATTCAATGAATGTACAAAACCTGAATAGAACTATTAGAATATATTTCACATTACAAGTTCATGTCAACACACCCAATAATAACGTACAATTAAATTGAGATAAGCATGACATATTCAAATAATGAAGAAATAGAGATCAGAGGTCAAACAAAACAAAACAAAACAAAAAGCAAATAGAAAACAGACTTAACAACTAACCTGATTTAAAACAATACGAAGTGAATTTAAAACTTGTTGATGTTCACCCCATAGTGCACATCTATATTTCACATGACATAACTGTTGACAACGCCAAAAAACTAGATTGGCAAACGCTGGAGAATCATAAGACAATGCATTGTAGTGATTCACTAGGTCAATATATCTATACAGTAAAAAACAAAAGCGAGTAATGGCACACATGATTATCTATAAAGATCCGAACGGTGCGTTAACTAAATATACCGTTCATTTACCTGGTATTTAAACACATTTTCGAAATTAGAGCTAGTGATAATTTCTGGTCCCTTAAATCAAAGTGGGTAAGATTTAAAAACTCCGACACTGCAATACCTGAATATCAAATATTCAAACTTCTATAAAATACGTATTTTGCATTATTGAAGAAACTGATACTTCATCCATACAATTTGAATTTCAGTCGGTCAGTGCAACAATCAAATGCTTTGTTCATTCATTCACCCAATCTCACAGTAGTTTCAAGTAACATTTAGAAAATACATTCACTGAATACATGTCTAAAGCATGATTATTACACATATACATATACCCCATTTACTTTTCCTTGCTCGAGGTACTTACCTACTATATAAATGTTAGGACAGTGCAATCGATATTTACATCATTTATACAACTAGTAACTCCCATTGACTTTCAAGTATTTTTTAATGAACAGTCGAAAAGTGGAAGAAAAATCCAACTACTGCAAAAAGCACACTGAGCAAAGTGAAGAATACATATTTACTGTCTTTTCCGTGTTACAGACAATATTAGCAGTTAGAAAGCACTAAAACAAGTGGAGCCAAGAAATTTCGGGCATATTGAAGTCACCACAAATAAGCTCGCCTGTGAATGGGAGGGATGATGCTAGTGTGAATACCTCCTATAATACTGCTATGGGTAAGAGTATCTCGGATAAAGTCGTCGTAACCCTCGCGGGTGTGAGATGAGTTTGAAGTGAGGGATTGAATGTTCTTCATTAGCTCGGTATTTTGATAGCTAGACTTAGTGGGAGATGTATCAAATGAGCTAGTGAAGTTGATTGGGGAGTTTACCCAAGGGGAAAGGGTCGGAGTACTCTCTGATGGAAATTGTACGGAGGAAACAAATTTATGGTTTGCATGTGGTTTGAAATAACTTGGGCTATATGCTTCAACAGAGGTGTCACTAGGAGTCGTATTCCAAAAAATTCTTGTACAGGCCTACTGTGGAGTGTATGGTTACTTGCAAAATAGTCTTGATGGTTAGACTTGTGGTGGATCAGACGATATACAAACGCAAAAAGTATCAACAAAGTTAATAAAAAGCAATAGTAATATTAATATATATCAGTTAAATGTTACAAATACAATAAAAATGGGACTTTACTTAAGTTCACCCAAAATGATGCGTGTTCGGCTTTAATCTGGTACAATAAATCCACAATTAAAGATGCTTGATAATTCCAAACGTATCGATGAACTCCCCAGGGGTGTAATCCAAAGTAAGGTATGGTGTATTCGCTCTCACAGTCTATGAATGTAAATAATATTTATTTTAGATCATAGTTAACTCAATCTCAAATGAAAACAGAACGGGGAATGTGAGAGAAGCAGTGTATTTGTTAACCAGCAACGATATATCACGCTATGTAGTATCACAACGGAAAAAGTCTTCAAGGTCATTTACTTAAACAACAGGTACAATCATTTAATGATAAATTTACATGCAGTGAGAAATTGACAGAACAAATACAAATAATATTAAAAACTATCTACAAGATAAGCTTATCAAACTTATCTCCACAGACTGGTAGCCTTTGTTATGGCTATTTACGTTAGCGTGAGAGAGGTCTGCTGCGCGTAACTGGAAGGAGTTGGGACTGTTATTACACATGCGAGCCGTTTGACAATGGTATAACAAGCTATATTTATACGAATTATGAATAGAAATAATATAAATTCGGAAATAAAGATTTAGTGATATCCATGGCAGAATAAATTTCAAAACAAGGAATCTTTATTCTTGCTCTATTTTTAGGATGAACTATGAGTATGAAAGTGACATAGTAGTTAAGGCGTCCAACTTCCGGAAAGTTAGTCAGTCTTAAAACTAGGGCTCATTTTGCCTGCATCGGATTGAACAACCGGATAATATCGTTGGTCAATTTTTGATGTTTACAACTACAGTTGATAAGTGTCCATTCTGTGAGAATTGCTTTGGTAATGTCGGCAATTCATAAGCATTTTTAAACAGGGATGGATAGTAACCAGAAGTGAAATCCAGAAAGCGTGTTACGTCCTATTTGGGACTCACCAACTAGATTTACCTGCATCCCACAGTTAATGTTCACCCCGAAATTAGAGCCATTCGCTTCAAACACCATCACGTTGTCTACTTAGCTAATCAGTTCAGATAGTCAACTGACTTTTGCAATGGGGAGAAATCTAATTCCTTTATATTAGTTGCTCTCTAAATCGTCCCATTATGTTTACAACTGTAATTCATCAGTCTATTTTTACTATTATTATAAAATATAGGCTAAATATGAACAAACTTCATCTCGTGTAAAATGTTCTGTAGCGTTGAAAGCGTCTATCTATATGATTAAAAGAAGAATATCTCTTAGATTATTTACCAACGTAAGATAACCTAAATAAAAGCTAAGTCCACAATAACTGCCAACAATTGAAATGAAAACTAAGAGAATATAACAATTCGAAAAACCGTCACATCTAAACAGAAATTCAATGAATGTACAAAACCTGAATAGAACTATTAGAATATATTTCACATTACAAGTTCATGTCAACACACCCAATAATAACGTACAATTAAATTGAGATAAGCATGACATATTCAAATAATGAAGAAATAGAGATCAGAGGTCAAACAAAACAAAACAAAACAAAAAGCAAATAGAAAACAGACTTAACAACTAACCTGATTTAAAACAATACGAAGTGAATTTAAAACTTGTTGATGTTCACCCCATAGTGCACATCTATATTTCACATGACATAACTGTTGACAACGCCAAAAAACTAGATTGGCAAACGCTGGAGAATCATAAGACAATGCATTGTAGTGATTCACTAGGTCAATATATCTATACAGTAAAAAACAAAAGCGAGTAATGGCACACATGATTATCTATAAAGATCCGAACGGTGCGTTAACTAAATATACCGTTCATTTACCTGGTATTTAAACACATTTTCGAAATTAGAGCTAGTGATAATTTCTGGTCCCTTAAATCAAAGTGGGTAAGATTTAAAAACTCCGACACTGCAATACCTGAATATCAAATATTCAAACTTCTATAAAATACGTATTTTGCATTATTGAAGAAACTGATACTTCATCCATACAATTTGAATTTCAGTCGGTCAGTGCAACAATCAAATGCTTTGTTCATTCATTCACCCAATCTCACAGTAGTTTCAAGTAACATTTAGAAAATACATTCACTGAATACATGTCTAAAGCATGATTATTACACATATACATATACCCCATTTACTTTTCCTTGCTCGAGGTACTTACCTACTATATAAATGTTAGGACAGTGCAATCGATATTTACATCATTTATACAACTAGTAACTCCCATTGACTTTCAAGTATTTTTTAATGAACAGTCGAAAAGTGGAAGAAAAATCCAACTACTGCAAAAAGCACACTGAGCAAAGTGAAGAATACATATTTACTGTCTTTTCCGTGTTACAGACAATATTAGCAGTTAGAAAGCACTAAAACAAGTGGAGCCAAGAAATTTCGGGCATATTGAAGTCACCACAAATAAGCTCGCCTGTGAATGGGAGGGATGATGCTAGTGTGAATACCTCCTATAATACTGCTATGGGTAAGAGTATCTCGGATAAAGTCGTCGTAACCCTCGCGGGTGTGAGATGAGTTTGAAGTGAGGGATTGAATGTTCTTCATTAGCTCGGTATTTTGATAGCTAGACTTAGTGGGAGATGTATCAAATGAGCTAGTGAAGTTGATTGGGGAGTTTACCCAAGGGGAAAGGGTCGGAGTACTCTCTGATGGAAATTGTACGGAGGAAACAAATTTATGGTTTGCATGTGGTTTGAAATAACTTGGGCTATATGCTTCAACAGAGGTGTCACTAGGAGTCGTATTCCAAAAAATTCTTGTACAGGCCTACTGTGGAGTGTATGGTTACTTGCAAAATAGTCTTGATGGTTAGACTTGTGGTGGATCAGACGATATACAAACGCAAAAAGTATCAACAAAGTTAATAAAAAGCAATAGTAATATTAATATATATCAGTTAAATGTTACAAATACAATAAAAATGGGACTTTACTTAAGTTCACCCAAAATGATGCGTGTTCGGCTTTAATCTGGTACAATAAATCCACAATTAAAGATGCTTGATAATTCCAAACGTATCGATGAACTCCCCAGGGGTGTAATCCAAAGTAAGGTATGGTGTATTCGCTCTCACAGTCTATGAATGTAAATAATATTTATTTTAGATCATAGTTAACTCAATCTCAAATGAAAACAGAACGGGGAATGTGAGAGAAGCAGTGTATTTGTTAACCAGCAACGATATATCACGCTATGTAGTATCACAACGGAAAAAGTCTTCAAGGTCATTTACTTAAACAACAGGTACAATCATTTAATGATAAATTTACATGCAGTGAGAAATTGACAGAACAAATACAAATAATATTAAAAACTATCTACAAGATAAGCTTATCAAACTTATCTCCACAGACTGGTAGCCTTTGTTATGGCTATTTACGTTAGCGTGAGAGAGGTCTGCTGCGCGTAACTGGAAGGAGTTGGGACTGTTATTACACATGCGAGCCGTTTGACAATGGTATAACAAGCTATATTTATACGAATTATGAATAGAAATAATATAAATTCGGAAATAAAGATTTAGTGATATCCATGGCAGAATAAATTTCAAAACAAGGAATCTTTATTCTTGCTCTATTTTTAGGATGAACTATGAGTATGAAAGTGACATAGTAGTTAAGGCGTCCAACTTCCGGAAAGTTAGTCAGTCTTAAAACTAGGGCTCATTTTGCCTGCATCGGATTGAACAACCGGATAATATCGTTGGTCAATTTTTGATGTTTACAACTACAGTTGATAAGTGTCCATTCTGTGAGAATTGCTTTGGTAATGTCGGCAATTCATAAGCATTTTTAAACAGGGATGGATAGTAACCAGAAGTGAAATCCAGAAAGCGTGTTACGTCCTATTTGGGACTCACCAACTAGATTTACCTGCATCCCACAGTTAATGTTCACCCCGAAATTAGAGCCATTCGCTTCAAACACCATCACGTTGTCTACTTAGCTAATCAGTTCAGATAGTCAACTGACTTTTGCAATGGGGAGAAATCTAATTCCTTTATATTAGTTGCTCTCTAAATCGTCCCATTATGTTTACAACTGTAATTCATCAGTCTATTTTTACTATTATTATAAAATATAGGCTAAATATGAACAAACTTCATCTCGTGTAAAATGTTCTGTAGCGTTGAAAGCGTCTATCTATATGATTAAAAGAAGAATATCTCTTAGATTATTTACCAACGTAAGATAACCTAAATAAAAGCTAAGTCCACAATAACTGCCAACAATTGAAATGAAAACTAAGAGAATATAACAATTCGAAAAACCGTCACATCTAAACAGAAATTCAATGAATGTACAAAACCTGAATAGAACTATTAGAATATATTTCACATTACAAGTTCATGTCAACACACCCAATAATAACGTACAATTAAATTGAGATAAGCATGACATATTCAAATAATGAAGAAATAGAGATCAGAGGTCAAACAAAACAAAACAAAACAAAAAGCAAATAGAAAACAGACTTAACAACTAACCTGATTTAAAACAATACGAAGTGAATTTAAAACTTGTTGATGTTCACCCCATAGTGCACATCTATATTTCACATGACATAACTGTTGACAACGCCAAAAAACTAGATTGGCAAACGCTGGAGAATCATAAGACAATGCATTGTAGTGATTCACTAGGTCAATATATCTATACAGTAAAAAACAAAAGCGAGTAATGGCACACATGATTATCTATAAAGATCCGAACGGTGCGTTAACTAAATATACCGTTCATTTACCTGGTATTTAAACACATTTTCGAAATTAGAGCTAGTGATAATTTCTGGTCCCTTAAATCAAAGTGGGTAAGATTTAAAAACTCCGACACTGCAATACCTGAATATCAAATATTCAAACTTCTATAAAATACGTATTTTGCATTATTGAAGAAACTGATACTTCATCCATACAATTTGAATTTCAGTCGGTCAGTGCAACAATCAAATGCTTTGTTCATTCATTCACCCAATCTCACAGTAGTTTCAAGTAACATTTAGAAAATACATTCACTGAATACATGTCTAAAGCATGATTATTACACATATACATATACCCCATTTACTTTTCCTTGCTCGAGGTACTTACCTACTATATAAATGTTAGGACAGTGCAATCGATATTTACATCATTTATACAACTAGTAACTCCCATTGACTTTCAAGTATTTTTTAATGAACAGTCGAAAAGTGGAAGAAAAATCCAACTACTGCAAAAAGCACACTGAGCAAAGTGAAGAATACATATTTACTGTCTTTTCCGTGTTACAGACAATATTAGCAGTTAGAAAGCACTAAAACAAGTGGAGCCAAGAAATTTCGGGCATATTGAAGTCACCACAAATAAGCTCGCCTGTGAATGGGAGGGATGATGCTAGTGTGAATACCTCCTATAATACTGCTATGGGTAAGAGTATCTCGGATAAAGTCGTCGTAACCCTCGCGGGTGTGAGATGAGTTTGAAGTGAGGGATTGAATGTTCTTCATTAGCTCGGTATTTTGATAGCTAGACTTAGTGGGAGATGTATCAAATGAGCTAGTGAAGTTGATTGGGGAGTTTACCCAAGGGGAAAGGGTCGGAGTACTCTCTGATGGAAATTGTACGGAGGAAACAAATTTATGGTTTGCATGTGGTTTGAAATAACTTGGGCTATATGCTTCAACAGAGGTGTCACTAGGAGTCGTATTCCAAAAAATTCTTGTACAGGCCTACTGTGGAGTGTATGGTTACTTGCAAAATAGTCTTGATGGTTAGACTTGTGGTGGATCAGACGATATACAAACGCAAAAAGTATCAACAAAGTTAATAAAAAGCAATAGTAATATTAATATATATCAGTTAAATGTTACAAATACAATAAAAATGGGACTTTACTTAAGTTCACCCAAAATGATGCGTGTTCGGCTTTAATCTGGTACAATAAATCCACAATTAAAGATGCTTGATAATTCCAAACGTATCGATGAACTCCCCAGGGGTGTAATCCAAAGTAAGGTATGGTGTATTCGCTCTCACAGTCTATGAATGTAAATAATATTTATTTTAGATCATAGTTAACTCAATCTCAAATGAAAACAGAACGGGGAATGTGAGAGAAGCAGTGTATTTGTTAACCAGCAACGATATATCACGCTATGTAGTATCACAACGGAAAAAGTCTTCAAGGTCATTTACTTAAACAACAGGTACAATCATTTAATGATAAATTTACATGCAGTGAGAAATTGACAGAACAAATACAAATAATATTAAAAACTATCTACAAGATAAGCTTATCAAACTTATCTCCACAGACTGGTAGCCTTTGTTATGGCTATTTACGTTAGCGTGAGAGAGGTCTGCTGCGCGTAACTGGAAGGAGTTGGGACTGTTATTACACATGCGAGCCGTTTGACAATGGTATAACAAGCTATATTTATACGAATTATGAATAGAAATAATATAAATTCGGAAATAAAGATTTAGTGATATCCATGGCAGAATAAATTTCAAAACAAGGAATCTTTATTCTTGCTCTATTTTTAGGATGAACTATGAGTATGAAAGTGACATAGTAGTTAAGGCGTCCAACTTCCGGAAAGTTAGTCAGTCTTAAAACTAGGGCTCATTTTGCCTGCATCGGATTGAACAACCGGATAATATCGTTGGTCAATTTTTGATGTTTACAACTACAGTTGATAAGTGTCCATTCTGTGAGAATTGCTTTGGTAATGTCGGCAATTCATAAGCATTTTTAAACAGGGATGGATAGTAACCAGAAGTGAAATCCAGAAAGCGTGTTACGTCCTATTTGGGACTCACCAACTAGATTTACCTGCATCCCACAGTTAATGTTCACCCCGAGATTAGAACCATTCGCTTCAAACACCATCACGTTGTCTACTTAGCTAATCAGTTCAGATAGCCAACTGACTTTTGCAATGGGGAGAAATCTAATTCCTTTATATTAGTTGCTCTCTAAATCGTCCCATTATGTTTACAACTGTAATTCATCAGTCTATTTTTACTATTATTATAAAATATAGGCTAAATATGAACAAACTTCATTTCGTGTAAAATGTTCTGTAGCGTTGAAAGCGTCTATCTATATGATTAAAAGAAGAATATCTCTTAGATTATTTACCAACATAAGATAACCTAAATAAAATCTAAGTCCACAATAACTGCCAACAATTGAAATGAAAACTAAGAGAAGATAACAATTCGAAAAACCGTCACATCTAAACAGAAATTCAATGAATGTACAAAACCTGAATAGAATTAGCAATAATATAGATATAGATGGAGATTAGTAACTTGTACAAGTACGTAGTTGTATTAGATCTTTTGTTCTAGATGAAAGATGGAACTAATAACTTTTTATAAGTTAAACGGTACTTTAATTAATAACTTGTCCTATAGTATAATTGTATAACATATTTTTAACTATTCCCAATATAACAGGTAATACCTCATACTAGGCGTGGGAAAATTTTGAATATACATGGGAAAAATCTGTTCTTAAGTTGAACAAATGAAACACAACTTTCATAAGATCAATATTTCATCATAATATAGAACTTTTAACTAAAGTTATTTAACATGTAATGCATCAGTGTAAAATAATAATGATGAACATTCAAATTACTCTATGGATATTAGTCAAAACAACTAGTCTATTGATTTCTTGTGGAATATAGGCTTGACTTTAAGCTTCAACCTACTAATAGGAATATTGTATATTGACCACTTTTATCATAGATACTAGAGAGAACTGACAGAGATTCAGTTACCATGTTCTATATTATTAACAAAAACAATAAGATCATCTTGATTGTAAGAAAGAATTTATTTTTGGTCTAATTTGTCGAAATCAATTTCAACAGTAGTCAGGACAACATAGAACATTTTTATACTTAGATAATATATTATGAAAACAAAAGTCGTAAGTTGATTACACAATTTTTTGAGTAGAATTGCGTGAGTTTATATTTATCGCCATTCTAATTAATAGTGTATGTAAGAGAATGATAGGTAGAATAAGAATAAATACTTTCAATTAATGTAATTTAAATGGTTGAGGTCATGAGTTTATTGAAGCTGGATCACCATGCAACACATAGAAGCATTGGGCGGTCGTTTCGTCCTATTGTGGGACTCCTCACCAGTTCGTATCCACGATCCCACCTCGCGAGATTCGAACACAAGACCTATCGGTCTTGCGTAGGAACACTTAACCTTTAGACCACTGAGCCTGTATTCAATGATGGAGTTCGATCGGTTCTGTTGTGAGATAATAACTCACTGAAGACAATGGTTGATGTGTTGCTCAGTGGTCTATAGGTAAAGCGTTAACGTGCAAGTCTGGTATGTCCTGGGTTCGAATCTCGTGAGGCGGGATCATGGATGCGTACTGCTCAGGAGTCTCACACCTAAACGAAACGGTCGTTTAATGCTTCCAGGTTTTCCATGGTGATCTAGCTTCAATTGACTCATGGTTTCAACTATTGAGATAACTATAATATCCACAAAAACCACTTCTGATACTAATGTAAGCTATCTTTAAAGTAAAGGTTAATTTAGATGATTTTGAGTTACAGTTTATATGTATGTGTGTGTGAGCCAACATTAGTTCTGATTTGTATAAACTAAAGTTTAGGAAAGACCTCAGGTTGAATTCACTAGTTCAGTGTTAAATATCTCAACTTTCAAGTCATTGCTTCAATGTGGTAAACAAATATTATTCATCCACCAGTTTATTTTCAAGAGTTTACTGTTTCTTCCTGTAAATGATCATATTACAGTGAATAATGAATGGTTGTAGATTCAGACATTCTAATAGATACTGATTATAATGACAGTTTACTGATAAATTTTTAGGATTTTCGTTTATGGTATAAATAGCTTATCATATGATAAGTATTAATTTCTATTCAGTAGACTTTTATCAATTCAGTAATAGAAAACCAATCGAGATCTATTATCATAGGATTGTTATCTAATCATATTAGTTGAGTTAGTTTCATACCAACCAGTCTATGAATATCCCTTTCTTTACTTATGTGTTATTATTATGTTTCATTATTTTAGTGAATTAACTAGACCCTCATGAAACTAGTTATTACTTCAAAAGGGAAACACATAGAATAGCAATACATGGCTTAATTTCGCTCCTGATTCAATAATTGCTCAACTCTAAATTAAACCTAGGTCGTCGTGTTTCATAATGACAATAAATATTCTTAAAATTTTGAACTATTGATTAACTAGTGTAAGGTTAGCTCATCTACGATTCAAAATCTGGTTAATATATATAAATACCACTGTGCTAACATCTAAGATTATGGAGCTAGGTGATAACTATTCGAATTCGACATCCATTATTAATCCTCTCAAGATTGCTGTTGATAAAGAGTGTCTACTAATAAGAAACTTAAGTCCAGGGTTTTTTCATGAATGTCTCCAACCATCTAACATTTTATTTGTTTAAATCTAAGTACTGATTATGGTACCCAACCGTTGTTGCTACCTTGACGTGGTGGTCGGGCTTGCCTATCGTGATGAAGCGATCAAGCTATACTGGCTGGTACAACCGTTCCTCAAGGTCCTAGTATGTCAGACAGGTCGGTTGAAGAGCGGTAAGACTAAAAGCAACAAGTCTAAGGTCCGAAGGTGAAGTCGTACCACTGATTGTACAGAGGTGTCACAGCAGTAATGTGTTTCCTTCAGACAATCAGCATGAAAACGATGCTCCCTTCCGACAAGGAGGGGTGGGGTCAG